ATTGAAGCTGGTCAGATAACGAACGAGTAAATGAAAAAAGAATGAGGCGGAGAAGTGTGTGTGTGTGTGTGTGTGTGTGTGTGTGTGTGTGTGTGTGTGTGTGTGTGTGTGTGTGTGTGTGTGGGGGGGGGGGGTGGTGTGGGTGAGATTAAAATAGCCCAATTGCTTTTACAATAAATAAACATTGAATGTGTTTAATTGAATAGTTAAGGGGTTTAACGTTAGTGGCAGGTTGTGTGTGAGAGAGAATAAATAAGACAGCCCAATATTTTTAAAAAACATTTATTCTTTTTCCCGCATATTTCCGCATATTTCGCAACTTCCCGCAATTTCACCGCATAAAATCACTTGAAACCCCGCATGTTTAATCACATAATCAAGGAATTTAGCCCGCGTTTTTCTGGAGGGTCTAACTATGGGTGTATGTAGAAAATAGCATCAACTATTTTCAAACATTTATATGTGATTTAGCATTCAAGGGTAAAAGTGTTTTTGATTTATTTATTCTATGTAAAGTAGATGTTGGCTGGTTGGTTTGAAGAAAACTAACTATCTCTATATTACTAAGTGGATACCTGGACATTGGTCTCGTCATAGGGCAGACATGAATGGATACGAGTTAGTCTTTGTGTTCCTCCTGCTCACCTTGACGATCTTCAGCTTGTGTCGGGGACTGGCTCGATAAAACACGGCTATCTGTGAAGACAGGGGACGACTTTCATTCAGAGAAACACGAAACAACAAGCAGCAGCAAAAACTCAGAATAACTTTTTATTTGATAACAACCGGTTCGAGAGGCAGGGGGATAAAGTGTGAATTACCGTATCGACCCGAATATAAGACCACTCTCTGTCTCAAGACTCATTTATGGAAAAATACCTTTTGAAGACCAACTCTTGTTTTTATAAAGAAAATAATTTCATTTGGAAATAATGACATCACACATTGTGTTCAAATGTGAAGTCTTCCTCGCTGCCATCCGTTGCATTGGATACGCAGCATTTCCTGAACCCCTTTATGATGCTCTCTCTCTTTCGTAACTTCGCCTCTCGTGTTTAATAACTTTCCCAATAGATATATATATATAGAGCGGTGCAGGGATGACGTGTTCACCCTGAAGGAAGCTGCTGGTTCCCTCCACAAAAAAGCAACGGGATTTCTCCAGAGGAGATCTGTGGAAAACTAACCTGTTTGATGAATGCACGTTTTGTTCAGCCGGATAATCTCCACATGTCTGCCCTACTTTTATAATGTTTGGATCATAACTCTAACGCCAGAAGCTAAATGCTAACGTTATGCTAAGAAGGAACTACAGCCGAGTCCAGCAGCACGACTTCAACGTCACGCCAACTTCAGATCCATATTCAAACACACAGATTCTAGATGGAACGAGTTGAAGCGTTTGTTTGAACAGTCTGCAGGAGGCAGGGACTTGCTTTCAAGCAGAACAGGGCAAACTAACTTTTTTTTCAAAGACGAGTGTTTACGTGTTCGGCGTAATAACGGCCTCCACGACTTCTGTAGTCCTATTCAGCCACTTGGTAACAACCATCGTTTTTCAGACACGTCAACTCTTCAGAAATCACCAGTGGGGTCACTGCTGATGGATTTAATGTCGTAGAACAAAACGTGATCCGTCTCTTCAATGTGTCTCAACCACAGACCTTATTTCCAGATATTTTCCTAAACCCGATGGAGAGATCCCATTGGCTCTGAGACAAGGGAACAGGAAGTGGTGAAATGCTGACTCACTTCCTGGTTCTAGTCACTGCACCACTCTATTTAGATCCACTGTGTTGGAGTTGGTCTCTGTGTCTCTCCATCTCTCTCTCTCCTGTTGTCCTGTTACTTTAAGATGGTGTCTCTTAACACTGGTTTGGCGCCATCTGTTGTTGTGACTGTGTAATTACATCGAAAGTCTAGACCCCGAATAAAAGACGACCTCTGTTTAGCAGATTTGTTTCGAGGAATGAAAACCCTTCTATACGGTATTAAAGTAAAGAGTTGTTCTCACCCTGGAGACGATGTTGGAGAGCTGCTGCAGGTCCAGGTGATCCACCTCGTCTCCGGAGAGACAGCGGCTGCCTTTAGAGTACAGACCCAGACGACTGGCTGCAGAGAGAAGGGAACACTCCGGTTATTCCAGTTGTATCATATTTTATTATTTACATTTATTTAGAAATGTTGATGACCCCTAAGTGGTCTCCAGCACATAGAAACTAACCTGTTGGGAGATTTACACGATATAATTAGCATATGCAGATAATAGCTAAACAACTAGTTGATTTTCTTGAATGGCAGTTTCGAGTCCCGTAACACTTTAAAAATCAACCAGAAAAGATGAGAGTGCGTTTGTTTCTCTGACCGATGGACACGGCGGTCTCCTGCGAGTCCCCGGTGATCATCTTGATGGCGACCCCGGAGTTGATGAGCTTCCCGATGGCCTCTTTGACCCCTGACCTCGGGGGGTCGATGATTCCCACCAGACCCAGGAAGGTCAGGCTGCCCAGCTCCGAGCCGGACGCAAACCCCAGCACTGCAGGAGAGAGATATGGAGAACGTGTGTTTTCAAGGCAGAAATAAGCAATAAAACGCTCAATATTTTTACATCACATCGAGTGTATTTCTACATCTGTAAAAATAGCTTTGGATCAACAGGTTTCCGACACATTTGCCCGTTAAATTCAAACATTTTCAAGCCCCTTACGGTAGTGGGAAGTACACTTAAATAAATGTTTTTAAATATAGCAGTACATTTCCATGGTATTGTATTTACCCCTGAGGCCTGCAGAGCCCATGTAGCTGATCTGCTGCTGGTACAGCTCCCTCTGCTGGGGGGTCAGGGGCAGGCTGGACCCCCTGCTGTTGTAGCAGCTGCAGAGACGGATCACCTGCTCGTACGCCCCCTTCACGAAGTACACGGCAGGCTTATCCTGGAGGGGCAGAAGATATAACGAGGTAAGAGTCGGGGCAGGACTGTTGTGAAAATCCTGAACGTCCTCTTGCAATATCAGAGTAACATGCTAACAAAGGTATCCCAACTGTAGCTGTGAACATGACAGGATGTGTGATTACCTAGAAGAGCATCAGGACTGTTTGAGGCATATGATAGCTATGTGATTAACATGATGATTCAGCCTCTATGGAGAGAGACATATGACAAGCATGATCATTTCTGACGTGGAGCTAATCTGAAGTAAACATTGAATACTGCTTTCTATTCCTCCATCTTGTGACTGTGGAACTCCCTCTCTTGGATATCAGCATGTGAAGGACACTGTTCAGGAACTAGTTGATGCTCTGTATGTGATGACTACTTCCATTCTGGAGAGGATCACAGATACATGGATCCTGAGGTTCAAGCTCAAGCCGGGGACGAGTGATATTTTTCCAACAGAGATAATCCAGTATGACACATGTTATAGTAATTCAAGAATGTACATTTTGAAAGAACAACAAGGCGTTAACGTGTTATTTAAACCACTTATAATGTTGAAAGGGCCTTTTTTCATGAGACACAAGAGTGCAAATGTTTGTATTATTCCCCATGAGATGGTACAGTACATCATATAAACAGATAGATCCGCACAACAAAAAGAGTGTTTTAATGCTGCTGTTTGTAATAATATTAATAATAATAATAATACGTGTTATTTATATAGTGCTTTTCCTGGTGCTCACAGCTCTTCCCCATCCAAAATCAGCCTCTACAACGTGCTACTACTGCATAAAAGCGGGCGTGGCAGACTGACAAACCCACATGTACAGTTGCAAGAAAAAGTATGTGAACCCTTTGGAACTTCCTGGATTTCTGCATAAATTGGTCATAAAATGTGTTCTGATCTTCATCTAATTCACAACAATAGACAAACACAGTCTGCTTAAGCTAAAACCACACAAACAATTATATGTTTTTATTGAACACACCATGTAAACATTCACAGTGCAGGGTGGAAAAAGTATGTGAACCCTTGGATTGAATAACTGGTTGACCCTCCTTTGGCAGCAATAACCTCAACCAAACATTTCCTATAGTTGCATATCAGACCTGCACAACGGTCGGGAGGAATTTTGGACCATTCCTCTTTACAAAACTGTTTCAGTTCAGCAATATTCTTGGGATGTCTGGTGTGAATCGCTCTCTTGAGGTCATGCCAC